CTTTCCTGACCACTTGTTACCAGGATTCAATAATTTGTTTACTCCCAGGCGGCACTGAATTTCTTTTTTTAAATTTTCGTGTCTGTGGTGGAGGTTTTGAGTTAGCTGAAGGTCTATTCTGCTAATCACCCTGGATGCCAGTTCTCACCAGGTAGAGTCCCGACTATGTCTAGGGAGCAATTCTGAGACCTCTAACCTGGGGGCAATCGCCCCCACTGCCAGCCTGAGAACCAGAGGTTGGCTGGCAGGCCCTGGATTCGCCACCCTGCCCAGGCCCAGCACCCCATTCTCCTTTCATTCACACGCACAGGGTTCAGTGCATCTCCTCTGTTCTGCTGCGGGAGAGGTGTGTCTCCCGTGCTCAAGGGGTTGCAGCTTTCTCAGCCAACCTGATCTTCCAAAATGCTTCCAATTTTCTGGTACACTATGAACAAACTTTCTTATTTTCCCAGCCTGTTCATAAATTTTTCTTATCCATTTAATAAAGAAACATTTTAGAGCACCTACTATCTTTCAGACATTATTCTCAGTATTGGGGCACAGCCAGGGACAATTTTTTAATACATTGTTTTGTCTTTTGGGGGCATTTGGAAGACGAAGGAGCAGTGAATATATGCTCCCTCTGTCACCTGAGCGGCGTCAGCATTAAATATGCTCACACATCCACCGACTTCAAAAACCACCACTCGCCTTTCCTGAGCCTGCTTCCCCTCGCCCTCTCTCCTGCATTTCACAATGTAATTCTTCAAAGAGTCGTGTGTGTTTGATGTCTCATCTCCTCACTTCCCCTCCTCAACACAATCGCATCTGTCTTCTGGCCCAACCACCTCCCAGCAAAGGCTCTGATGAGACCACTAGTGAGCACCTCTTTAATCTGATGGACACTTTCCAGCCCTTTCCCTATTAGAGCTCTTAGCAACATGCCTTCTTCCAGACACTTCTGCCCATGTGCTGTACTCCCTTCCAGTTTTTTATTTCTCCTTCCCCATCTTTCTCAGCACTTCATCTGTTTCTTAGTAGGCATTAAATACTGGCTTTCTTCAAAGTCCAGCCATAGAACCTCCTCTTGTTCCCCAATCCTCTCTCTTTAAGTGATCTTGGAGTTTGGTTCCAATGACCATGTGTATACTGAAGATTCCTGCACTTAAAACCACAAGTTAGACTTCTCTTCTGATAGCCAAACACCACCAAGTGGCTTATTTCATCTCTCCTCTTGAACGTCTCAAAGAAATCTACCAAAATGTATGGAACTGGACATATGACCTACTGCCCCATTCCTGTCCTCCAGTCTCTCCTGTCTTAGGACAAAAGCAGCCCGGCCACTGAGCTGGAGAGGCCAGCAGAGTGGCCATGCTTCCTGGCAACTGCTCTCTCTGCCAAGCTACACCCACACAGCAAGCCTGTCAATCTTACCTTCTCAATATTTCTCAGCTCTGTCCACTTCCTTCTACCACTGTTTAAACTGTGATCATCTCTGTCCAACTTCTGTCCATTGTAGTGGGGCCACCGCAGTCCCAGGTCACAGGCACGTTTTTGGCACTCACCACACCTTTCTCCTGGTAGCACAGGACACTACTAGCCTCCCTTTCTGGAAAATTATCTCTTTGGGCTTCTCATTTGACAGGGATGTCACTCAGGGAAAGATCAGGTTTGGATGACTACAGTAACCTAACCAGTCTCCCCAGATCTACACTTGTCTCTCTCCCGTCTATTTGTTACATGTCAGACTGATCAATCTTTTCAAAGTGCAATCTGATTGGAATGCAATCAGATTAAAATGCAAATTTCAATCCTATTTTGTAGCACCCTTGCATAGTGCCCTAAGGTGAAGATGAAAGCCTTGACCTCACCGAAGACATCCTCTGGACCCAGACGACCTAGCCACCTCAAGCCCACGTGTCTCCTCTCACCCCCGCTCACGACTGCCCAGCCATCTCTCCCCTTGCTTCCTCCACTGCTTCAGCTCAAACTTCAGGAAGTCTTGCCTCATCCACAGACTACGTAGGGTTTCCTTATTATATACTCTTGTTACACACTGTACTTGTTCTCACCAGCACTTATCACAACTGTAATTGAATACTACACTGAAATTATTTAATTTCTATTCCCCTCCTAAAATATCAGGTCCATGAGAACACAGACCATGTGTGTGTTCTTTACTAGAACTGCTCCAGTGTCCTGAGTTTGGAACACAAGGTAGTAAATAAATATGTAGTGTATGAATAAATATATCAATCAGATAGTAAAACTCTGCTGTCACCTCCCACGTTTGTCTGAGGTAGGCCTGATGCTTTCCAGGATATTTTTGATGAGGAAAGCTGGTTCCTGCTACGGTTCTGCCAAACTGTATATTTCTAGGTTCTCCAGTTGGGGGTTTAACACAGAATATACTCTGTTCTCCCACTGAAATACGCTTGTTTTCATCCTACCTACAGCTCCACTTCTGTGACAGTCACGTGGCTTCCCTAGTCTGGTTCCTAACTTTCCACAAAGGCTCCTGCACATAGTGAATAATCCTGTCCTATTACACTTATTTTGTTTGAAAAAGTTTATGTTCTATAGCAAGCTAATCCAAAGTATCTTACCAAATCGTGATGACCCTTTAGGTCATATTTATTACTGTTTGTTAGCAATTGAAATGACATTTATTATGATACTCTCTCCCTATGAAAACATTTATTTTTACAATGTCCTTTTGAGCAGGGTATCTAATTTTACACTTCTTACGAGTTTGATTTTAAATTCCTCTAGAATTAGACTGCAAATTATGTTCCAAACGTGATCTTTCTAGCATATTTAGAAAAACACTATAATGACTGGCAGAAATGAGAAAAGTATCTTAAATCTCACCTCTATCTGCAATTTTTAATTTCTAAATTTCTATTTTCTCCTTCAAATTCAAGATTGGAAAGAAAATCTAATACAATCTCAGTGGCCAACTTAACTTCTTATAAAAATATTAGTATCTAAAGACACAATCTGGGATTCTTCCAATGGTATCATTTATACCTGATTAGAAACAGGCACAAGGGATGAGGATCCTGGTAGGGTCCCTAGTCTTAAATACATACTCTCAATAGATCAGCACATCAGGTCTACACACAGCCTTTCTTAATTTTCTTCAACTGCAATTCACCTGCTGTCACGAGACTAAAAACTTCTTAAAAATAAGGACCCTATAATTACACAAATTTGAATTTCAGTCCCTAAAGCCCCCTAGAACATAGATATTCATCTCAATCATGATGCATTTCTTCACTCTTCTTTTTTTACACACACAGTTATGAACTGTCTTCTCTTTTTCTACAGAGTCATCACTGAATATAATTCAAATAAAAAGGATTCATCATTGGCTTTATCATTACTTAGTCACGCAATCCGGGGCAAATTATTTACGTTCTTTGAACCTTATTTCTCTCATCTGGGAAGCAGGGAAACTATAATCTACTTCATGGAGTTCAGTAAAATCGTGCATAAAATGGAAAGAAGAGGAGTTACAATTGCCTAAATCTGAACTGGATGCTACTCATGTCACCAATTCACCAGAAAGGTCTTCTCCATGGCCTTTACGTCTGAAATCCAATTCTTAACCTTTCCCAAGGTGGCAAATCAGTCATCTTTGAGAGTGGGGTTAATCTGCAGAAACACTCAGAGGAGTTAACCTCTGACTAAAGTAGCTGTTTACGCATGTTTTAGTCAGAACAGAGAGATGACTACAAAGTATTGAGATCGGCGTTCTTGAAAATTCCTAACTGCCTCCTAAGGCAACTGTTAAAGGATTTAAGAAATTATTTAAGCAATGGCAGAACCACTGGAATAGGTAAACAATCTCCCCAAGTGAATTCTTTGAAAACTACCATTCATTTGGATGGTTCTAAGTTATGATATTTATAACTCAAGATATAATTTCCCATACTTTATAATCATACTGCAGGTATATTTTAAAATGAGTAGGTGGCTTAAAGTTAAACATTTCCAAACCTTGTTCCTCATAGTGTTGGTGTGTTAAATCATCTACAAAAAGAGAGAATAAAGGCAAAATTAGTATTAAATGAGTCATTCTGTGTAACTGCTTAGCTGAAAACAACAACAAAAATACAAACAACAACAAAAACCATTCTGAAACACAGAGTTCTATTCCTTTAAACATTAACATCTACACAGTCGGTAGTAAATGCCTCTGGCCAAACACAACTAAAAAAAAAGGTCAATTATTTTCATAAAAATTCCTCGAAATGGCACAGAGCAAGATATACAAAAGTAGTGTTAGGATTTAACATCCTGTTTTGTTGCAAAGGCACTGGTAGATGAGGTAAAAATATGAAAGCCTGATATTCTTCTAGTGCTCTAATTTTGTTATGAGATGGAAAGTTCTGTATTAGGTGTTAAAATTACATCTTTGACTCCACTGAAAGAAAAATCACCATGAAAAACAGCATTGCAACTGAAAAACCTTAAGTAACATTTAAAATCTACAGAAAATGTCCATCTGATACCTGCATCATGGTGCAATCTCCCATCATCTACTACTACTGGTTCACTGGAATCTAAAAAGAAAAAATATATACCTTTGCCAAACATGAAAAAACCAAACCGTTCCATTACCAGACACCCTTATAAAAGATTCATACATTAATTCTAATCTTCATAACCATGTAAGACAGATACTATTATTTAATAAAATTTAAGCTGAAGAAAGTTCCGTAATTTGCTATTGCAAAGATAGAAAAGAACAGAACTAGGATTTGTTCCCAGCCTGGCCCTACTATATATATAATACTGCCTCTTCAATTTCCAAATATTCTCTCCAACATCCTACTAACAAAGAACAAAATCCCAGTGGTGGTTGTGAAAACCACAGCTCCTTTTTCCCCTCATTTCCCCATGTAATATTAAACTATATTCAGAAATTTCTATAAATATCGCAGCAATCAAAAATTATTAAAAATATTATAAAGAGATCTCTGTGTTGAATCAAAGTGACTTGAACCTTAACCCTGGTTCAAAATGGCCTTGGCCACTGCCTCAAAGAGAAACACATCAATAATTTTATTATACACAAACCTGGATTTTCCTGTTCATATATCATGTCTTCTATATCCTGGTTATCATCCTGTGAAACTATAAATTAGGAAATAATTAGGAAATTATAAACATGTTTCAAATAAGGATTACATGTGATATTCAAAACTGGAAAAGCACAATTTCTAGCAATGACAGAAATGTAAAATCAAATCATAATGATGTTCAAACATGTTCACTCGTGAAAAAGAAATCGGTATTAACTGTGCTCAGGGCCAAATACACACATGAATAAGATAGCTCCCGTCATTAACAGGTTTATCATCTAACTTTAAATCAATAGAGCTATATATCTTCATCTAGCGTATGCAAATGAAACTGCACTCAGCAAATACGAACGAGAGAGGCAGAGAGCGCAGAGCAGGTGAGCACAGCGCCCGCCCGCTCGGCACGCGCCTGCGCACATCAAGCCCGGGCGAGGCCCACGTTCCCAGTCCTCACTTGGCCTCCATATTTGGGGGGGGGGGTCCCTCTGGGGCTCCTCCCGTACTTGGAATACAGTTCCCGTGTTTACAGACATATGGTGCTAACGAGGTATAGGTCCTAAATGCCAGCCACCAATATCATGAGGTCCTCAAGCAGAGAGAGTGATTTGTTCCAGCACTGAAGGAAAAACCAGCCAACAGCACAGGTTGCTGAAAGGAGGGCGTCCATCTCCCGCGCGCCCATCCCGTCCAGGGGCACGCGACACGTGACAAACACAATGTTGCCCGTTCACTGACTTCCACTCTATCTTCTGAACTAGTAATCCCACTACTGGGAATTTATCCTCAGAAAATAGACTTCAAAACTTAAAAACTATGTTCGCAAAGATACATATAGTATAAAATATATGACATTAGTAATTGTCTATCATATGAGATATATTACATAATTTAAAATATATTGTTATTAATAAATAATAGATATATTATGGTGCTCTTTTAAAGGAAGAGACTCATTCTAATTAAGAAAGAAGAGTACTAAATTAATGTCTCACCTGTCTCCTCCACATGGTAACTATCCTCAGTTTCTGAAAAAAAATTAGATCATTACCACTTTCATAAAAGTAGTATGTACGTATACTGTATATGTACATTCTGAATCTACACTTATCATTAATTTATTTTAAGAGCAAATAACTATTAAAATAAAACATGGACATATCAACGAAATGCCTCACACATTCTCTTATTTGAGCCACCCAACCACACGGGTTGACAAACACCATAACCCGGGCTGAACAGAGAGGACGACCTATACAGAGTACCACAGTGACAAAGGCTGGTCCTAGAAAAGGTGCTAATTTCTAGTCCACTTTGCACTCCACTACAGTGTTCTATTTTCTAGATGTGTGCTGCCTTTTCTGGAACAAATGTACACTGTCTACAGGTGGGAACACAAAGGAAAAATGGAGGACACTTTATCCTTCTGGGGAGCTGAACAGTAAAGGTTTTGGTAACTTAACCCACATCCCCTAGCATGAGTGCTGCCACCATATGACCCTCATTACGCTTAAGACCTTTGTTAATTTTATTTAATACATTTATAAAGTGTAAATATTTTATTGTCTGAAGACTTTCAACAATCAACTTTTCAGTTCAAACTGAATCTATGTCCCAATTAAAGATTAGGTCAGAAAATAAGGTTTCTTCAATTTATGAACTCCCCAGAAGTGCTTCCTCTATCCCTAATCTATAACTCCTGACCTTAAAAATATCAAATCCTTCATGTTTCTGATTATTTGAACATCTGAACTGAAATCTGTTGTATAAGCAGCATACAGAAACCCAAATCCTGACAACTGGCCATCCTGCTGAGCCGGCTTAGCCAAAGACAGGAGGGAGCATGTGACAGCAGGGAAACGTGGTGGTCACCTTATCAGCATCCCTACTCAGAAATGAGAAACATTTTTTCCCCACAGAAAACATGACATAAATGATTACTAAAGGACTAAAGTTCTAAAGCTAGTCTATAAATGCCTATTTTCAATGTATAATGGAGCTGAAATCATGTACTTGTCCAAAAGCATTTTGTGTTTGCATTTTTCACACAAAACTATACATTATATACAAACCATCTCTTATAACATTATTTTTATGGGAAAGTACATTTCCTGCTCTAAACAACAGGCACGGATATAAACTTTTGGAAATATATCCCCTCATAAATTAGGAGCTGCTGGCTTCTAAAGTAATTTCCCAGCATATTAAATATTGTGAGAAGTAATCAACTTTACTTTTTCATTACTTTTATGTTTTAAAAATGTCCCTGCAACCTTTTACCAGCTGTACTGTGTAGGATTTTGTAAATTAATTTTTACAGAAACACAGTCATACTCACCCACTGAGGTACAGTCTGAGGCTGCTTTTGTGCACCACAGCAGAGCTGAGTGGCTACAACAGAGGCCTGTACGGTTTGCAAAGCCTAAAATGTTTACTATCTGGACATTTATGGAAAATGTTTGCCAATGCCTGGTACAGAAGCTAAGAACTGTGTTCTACCCCCTGCAGTTGAAGAGTCCATGTTAGAATGGGAACCTGTGATAGATTATCATCAGTTGTTGTTCATCAGTTGTTTGAATTTCATAAGACAAATGGCATCCCAGGCAGTAGAATGTTGTAGAAGTAGTTTGCCGAAGTATTTTTATTTGTATAAGAAATTTACATATTCTAAATTGCCCTTAAAAATGTTTTGAATCAAAATCAGGATATGTATTTGTTTAAGGGNTGGGGGGGGGGGGTCCCTCTGGGGCTCCTCCCGTACTTGGAATACAGTTCCCGTGTTTACAGACATATGGTGCTAACGAGGTATAGGTCCTAAATGCCAGCCACCAATATCATGAGGTCCTCAAGCAGAGAGAGTGATTTGTTCCAGCACTGAAGGAAAAACCAGCCAACAGCACAGGTTGCTGAAAGGAGGGCGTCCATCTCCCGCGCGCCCATCCCGTCCAGGGGCACGCGACACGTGACAAACACAATGTTGCCCGTTCACTGACTTCCACTCTATCTTCTGAACTAGTAATCCCACTACTGGGAATTTATCCTCAGAAAATAGACTTCAAAACTTAAAAACTATGTTCGCAAAGATACATATAGTATAAAATATATGACATTAGTAATTGTCTATCATATGAGATATATTACATAATTTAAAATATATTGTTATTAATAAATAATAGATATATTATGGTGCTCTTTTAAAGGAAGAGACTCATTCTAATTAAGAAAGAAGAGTACTAAATTAATGTCTCACCTGTCTCCTCCACATGGTAACTATCCTCAGTTTCTGAAAAAAAATTAGATCATTACCACTTTCATAAAAGTAGTATGTACGTATACTGTATATGTACATTCTGAATCTACACTTATCATTAATTTATTTTAAGAGCAAATAACTATTAAAATAAAACATGGACATATCAACGAAATGCCTCACACATTCTCTTATTTGAGCCACCCAACCACACGGGTTGACAAACACCATAACCCGGGCTGAACAGAGAGGACGACCTATACAGAGTACCACAGTGACAAAGGCTGGTCCTAGAAAAGGTGCTAATTTCTAGTCCACTTTGCACTCCACTACAGTGTTCTATTTTCTAGATGTGTGCTGCCTTTTCTGGAACAAATGTACACTGTCTACAGGTGGGAACACAAAGGAAAAATGGAGGACACTTTATCCTTCTGGGGAGCTGAACAGTAAAGGTTTTGGTAACTTAACCCACATCCCCTAGCATGAGTGCTGCCACCATATGACCCTCATTACGCTTAAGACCTTTGTTAATTTTATTTAATACATTTATAAAGTGTAAATATTTTATTGTCTGAAGACTTTCAACAATCAACTTTTCAGTTCAAACTGAATCTATGTCCCAATTAAAGATTAGGTCAGAAAATAAGGTTTCTTCAATTTATGAACTCCCCAGAAGTGCTTCCTCTATCCCTAATCTATAACTCCTGACCTTAAAAATATCAAATCCTTCATGTTTCTGATTATTTGAACATCTGAACTGAAATCTGTTGTATAAGCAGCATACAGAAACCCAAATCCTGACAACTGGCCATCCTGCTGAGCCAGCTTAGCCAAAGACAGGAGGGAGCATGTGACAGCAGGGAAACGTGGTGGTCACCTTATCAGCATCCCTACTCAGAAATGAGAAACATAATCTGTTGTATAAGCAGCATACAGAAACCCAAATCCTGACAACTGGCCATCCTGCTGAGCCGGCTTAGCCAAAGACAGGAGGGAGCATGTGACAGCAGGGAAACGTGGTGGTCACCTTATCAGCATCCCTACTCAGAAATGAGAAACATTTTTTCCCCACAGAAAACATGACATAAATGATTACTAAAGGACTAAAGTTCTAAAGCTAGTCTATAAATGCCTATTTTCAATGTATAATGGAGCTGAAATCATGTACTTGTCCAAAAGCATTTTGTGTTTGCATTTTTCACACAAAACTATACATTATATACAAACCATCTCTTATAACATTATTTTTATGGGAAAGTACATTTCCTGCTCTAAACAACAGGCACGGATATAAACTTTTGGAAATATATCCCCTCATAAATTAGGAGCTGCTGGCTTCTAAAGTAATTTCCCAGCATATTAAATATTGTGAGAAGTAATCAACTTTACTTTTTCATTACTTTTATGTTTTAAAAATGTCCCTGCAACCTTTTACCAGCTGTACTGTGTAGGATTTTGTAAATTAATTTTTACAGAAACACAGTCATACTCACCCACTGAGGTACAGTCTGAGGCTGCTTTTGTGCACCACAGCAGAGCTGAGTGGCTACAACAGAGGCCTGTACGGTTTGCAAAGCCTAAAATGTTTACTATCTGGACATTTATGGAAAATGTTTGCCAATGCCTGGTACAGAAGCTAAGAACTGTGTTCTACCCCCTGCAGTTGAAGAGTCCATGTTAGAATGGGAACCTGTGATAGATTATCATCAGTTGTTGTTCATCAGTTGTTTGAATTTCATAAGACAAATGGCATCCCAGGCAGTAGAATGTTGTAGAAGTAGTTTGCCGAAGTATTTTTATTTGTATAAGAAATTTACATATTCTAAATTGCCCTTAAAAATGTTTTGAATCAAAATCAGGATATGTATTTGTTTAAGGGAAAAAAGTCACTTTAATTGAAGCTTTAAGCTTCAACTCAAAAAATTAGATAAAAGTTAAATATTGGTTTTAAAGGGATTTAGGAAAATTTTCAATAATTATAATTATAAACTGTCTATTGTATTTTATCCCGAAACCACAAAAATGTGTTCTACCTTCATGGAATGTTTCAGGCTCCAGGGTCTCAAATCTGTCATCTGAATCAGCTGCTGTAAGGAAATCGTCATCCTCTGCTTGTGGTTCTCCTGTTGGTCCATCCTCTTCTTGTTGCAGGTCTTCTCCTTCAACAATGACAATGAACAAAATGACACTGGTCCACAATGAGGGCACACTGGCAGCAGCCAAAGCTGCCACACAACCCCTCCTGCTGCTGGATGTTCTCTGCCCCTCCTCCGGGTCAAAGCAGGTACTGTTGTCCACTCCACAGCTACTTTATCACCCTGGCCAAGTGCCATCTGCCTAAGGGGGGAACAGGTCTCCTCTCATTAGAACATGAACTCATCAAGGACGGGGACCTCATATATTTTGTTCATTATTTATGTGAAGCACATAGGGTCATGCCTAGCCATAAGAAGTACTCAATAAATATTTGAGGAATGAATAAATGAATTCATAATTATTAATACATTTGCCTTTTTAGTTATCACTGGGTCAGAGAAAAGATCAGA